AGTCAGTCAGTGTCGCTCGTGCACAGGAAGAAGTCGGTCGGGCGTTGACTTTGGATCATTTTCGGGGATACCTTTTCTTGATTTGGTGATTAATTCTTTAATTTTTTAATTTTTTAACGCTAGTTTTTTAATTACTGTCTCAATAAAGACCAATTAAATCAATAAGAGACTAACTGTGTCTGACACTGACTGGCTAACTTATCAGAAACCGGTTTTTGAAGTATTAAGAGTAATGTTTGCGATGCGGTATCTTGTGATCAAGGTGAGCTTCCTAACCATCGGAATAATTAATTATAATTTCAAAATTTTTTGATACATTAGTTTTACATTTTCTTTATTTCGAGAATTTCAAAATTTCTTTCCCCCCTTTTTCTTTTTCACTGCATTCTTATCTGGATTTAATTCTGGTATTTATACTCTCGAGGTGAGAAAGATCACCATGACTAATTAATAATTGTTATATTCTATGTATGTGAATGTATTAGTTATCTCTGAAGAAGGCTCAAAAATGAGCCGAAACATGTAAGCGCTTTAGTAAAATAAAGAAGTTTCACGCTACGATAGCCGTGTTATTTGCGCAACATCTCCCGCGCTTGACTCCTACTGCCCTTGTTCTTTCATTGTTTTTTGATTTATAAGGAGCCTTAGTTAGGTTGATTTATTATACGTTATTTACCGTAATAGTGCTTTTCGTTTATTTATTTATTTATTAATTTATCGTTATGCAAATTTAAATCATTGCACTTAATTATGAAAATCATAATAAAAACTCAGAATTTTAGATAATTGGAATAAAGTGACTGAGCTATGTTAAATTGTATTTATAATAAAATTCACATTTGCCTAATTGTAAGTATAAAAAATATATTTTTACAGTAAATTTGAAGTTTCAACAATATAAGTCGTTTCGCATGAAAATATATACTAAAAATTTCAAGAATGGTTAGGTTTTGCTTAATCTCAGTTCTTAGTTACAAAATAGTCATGATTATAATAAATCAATGAGCACCCATGTTTAGAGAAAGTACATAATTTTTATGACGTGATGGTACTTACAAAAATCTAATCAATAAGTTTGCCATTGTTGTCATTTAAATAACAAATTGTTCGCATGACAATCACCATGATTAATAACATTAAATTCGTCTTCACAAAGCTTGGTTGTATTCAATCCTATTTGATATATATCAAATATGATATTGTTAGATACTCAGAAAAAATTGCTAAACTCGCCGATTATGGTTTTCTGAGTATCTAACAATAAAAATTAAACAAATGTAAAATCATATAAAAGCATGTAAAAATAATATATACATATAAATAATGTATATAAAATAATAATATTTGCTCTAAACAATATAATTTGTATCTATTTATATTTGCAATTTTCTTCTTAACATGTTCTGCCCCTTCATATTAAATTATGATTATCTTATATCATGTATAATAAATTATCTTGAATACTGAAAGGCAAAGCAATAAATATTCTTATTCGTGTAAATCTTACTTTTTTACTTCTAGTCAGTTGACAATCTCATTTGCTAAATCTTTAGTACTCTTAATCAAAACATCTTTCATTTCTGGAGGAAGCTGGTCATTAAATATTCCTTTCGAACACATCTCTTTTTGTTTTGGTTCCTGAATATTGAAATATTTTCATTACAGAACATTTTGATGTATTTATCCATTTGATTATGGAGTAATATAATTAGTAGAGTTGCATCCGATATACGGGAAGAATTGCCAGATATCTGATTTCTAGCAATATATCCGGCAGAAACTTTATATTAAATGATATGTAGGGAAGAGTTGCCGAATGCGTACTGGTCGCCTAAATCGTACCTCATCAATATTTTATATTATTAATTAATATAGGCAATATTTAGTAACAATAATATAAAATAAAAATAATAATAACACAATCCGTAAAGGCCATACGAGTCACGGGCTGATGAAGGTGCCAACGATTAATTTCAATCTTAATTAATCATTAATGTATAGAATCCTGTTTATTGACGATACGAAAATGGTATTCCAACGTTTCGACTCACTTTGGAGTCCTCCTCAGCAATACATATGTGTAATTAATATGTTAAGTATTCCATCAACATGAGTCACTTACAGGTTCCCGACTGTAGTGGATCCTGATTAAAATATCAAAATTAAATTGACATATCAAAAGAAAACCAACAAAATTTTTTTAAAGTAACTCACCTCAAACGGAACATTCAACATGTTTCATGAGCTTTGTAAGTTTATATTAACAACCATTAAAACTGATCTTCGTTATATACATTTAATTTCAATCTCACATCTCCGGATAACGTAACGTGTTTGTCGAAAATTTTATAATTTATAACGGACAACCAAGACACAAAACAAAAACAATCGAGATAGAAAAGCTAACTTATACTATTCGCTATATATTAGTCATAAATCATGTGTGTCAAAGATGTGAAAAATACAAAATCTTTTGGCTAAAAATTAATTAGTCATTTCACATAACATCGTCGTATATGTATGATGTAAACCTTCCCTGTCAGAACGCAAATTCAATCCATTTTTTTGCATAAGAATGTGCGCTTTTTCAGAAATTAGTCTTTTATTCAATATTCTCTCACGATCCAGAATTTGAATGTTCTCCCAATCAAAGTCATGATTCAATTCCGTTCTGTGATTCGTGATGACAGACTGTGAATTCGTATTCCAATTGATATGATTCCGATGTTCCGTAATTCTCGAGATCAATTTTCTACCCGTTTGTCCTACATAAGAAGCATCACAGTCTTTACAAGTTATTTTGTATATTACATTTTTATTTTGATTTTTGGGGAGAACATCCTTCTGAACCTTGATGAACCTACTCAATTTATTGTTACTATAGAACGCAGGTCTTAAGTTTTCTTTTTTGCAAATTCTTAAAAAATCCTTCGATGTATTATTCGTATACGGAATTAAAAACCAAGGAGTTCCTTCATCCCTTTCAGAATCATCATTCTTGGACTTAGAATCTTGTTCCATCCGACCACGTCTCGAAAATAAACATTTTAATCTTAGAGAAATAGTGTCAAAAATGAACTCAATTGGATAGTCATTCCTTAACAGCGTATTAATAACTAATTTAATGTTCTTATAATAAAATTTTTCTTCTGATAATAAAATAGCTCTATCAATCATTCCAAAAACTACACCTCTTTTTTGTGATATTGGATGTGAAGATAAGAAATTCAAATACCGTCCCGAAAAAGTAGGCTTATGGTACCAATCACATTCTAACATTCCGTCATTCTTAATTATTGTCACATCCAAAAAATTGATACTCTCCCCACCAATTTCCAATGTAAACTGAAGTCTATTGTGTACTGCATTGAAAGCAGTCAAAATCTGTCCTATTGTCTCAACTGGAGCCGCCATTATAATATCATCAACATATCTGATATAGAATGGAACAGGAAATTCCAATTTGCCTAACACCTCTGTCTCCAAATCCTGCATCACAAGGTCTGCAATGATCGGAGAGAGAGGTGACCCCATAGGAGTACCAAATTTTTGCTGATAATACTCATCATTGAACGCAAAGAAAGTTGATTCTAATACTAAGGATACGGCTCCAATAAATTCTTTTTTAGGAATACTAATACCTTTCTTAATTTTATTCCATCTTTTCTCTATGCTCTTAATCGCAAAATCAATTGGAACATTCGTGAACAATGAAACTACATCTAACGATATTAACGAAAAATTCTCATCAATTTGAGTCCCCCTTAATTTTTTTACTAATTGAAAACTATTGTCTATTTTGCTAAAAGGCCTCTCTACATTTTTAGATATTATTTCGTGTAAAAACGAAGCCAAAGAATACATTGGACTGTCTAAGGACGAGATTATAATTCTGAAAGGCGTTCCCTCTTTATGAATCTTCGGTAGCGCGTATGCTCTCGGTAAAATTCCGTCACTACTCCTCAATTTTCTATAGGTTGGTTCAGAAATAAAATTCTTCGATTTCCATTTTTTTAATAATTCCTGAACATTTTTGGCTAATTTGTTAATCGGATTTTTAGTTAATTTTATATATGTTTTTTTGTCGTCTAACATTCTAGTGATCTTATCTATGTAGCTATCTCTATCTAATGCCACTGTTGTATTCCCTTTATCAGCTCTTGTGAAAATTATCTTCGGATTATTTTTTATGAATCTAATCGAGTCATTCATTAAGCCAGAAACTCTCCTTGTAATGGAATTATTGATAATCGGCGATGTTAACAATTTTTTTAAAATTGAAATTGACATATTCCTAACTTTCAAAATATTAATTGTTTTCGAAAAACTAAAATTGTTTTCTATATTCTTAATGAAATCTATTAATGTGTTCTTCCGATAGGAAAAAGGTAAAGAAAAATTTTCACCTAGTTGCAACAATAATTGTACTTTTTTAGGAATATTCCTACCAGACAAATTAATGAACCAACCTTCTTTCAAACTATTAAGTGATGAGATTGAAGAGACACCCATGAATTCTTTGGCTTCAATTATTCCCTCCAATTGTTTTTTAATTTTATGTACTCCCGTGCTTAGACCGCTATTATTATCTATCTCCTTATATTGAATAGGTTTAATATTCCTGTATTTTCTTTCTTTTTCTTTATGGAAAAGCCAATCAAGTTTTTTCCTCAATTTAATCTCTTCCATTTTGAGGTGTTTTTGGAATGTTATCTCCTGCTTGACAAAAAAACAACTGCAAATGTCTATTGGGATGTGATTCATTATTCTCCTCCTGAGCCGACAAATTTCTTTTTGTGAATGATTGATAGATCTATAAGCATCATTGAGTTCAATTTTTAAAATTCTAACAATGAATAATCCTTTAAAATAGTTGAATTTACGTAAAGACCGAAAATGAAACATATTAAGTTTATAATTTAATAATTGCCGTAAATGTTGTGGAGTTAAATTACTATTAATGCATGCTCTAACAAATTTGATGCGCATTTTGTTCCTAATAATTAACTTATGATGTTTAATCCAAAGCTTCATGAATTCAACTGGTATCAAACCAAACGTAATACATATAAATTTAAAAAAACTAGACGGTGATTGACGCATTTTTCAGGCAGCGTAAATGAAAACAATTTCTGTAGACTCGAAATTCTTAAAATAAAAATAATAATAACACAATCCGTAAAGGCTATACGAGTCACAGGCTGATGAAGGTGCCAACGATTAATTTCAATCTTAATAATATAAAATATATGAGAAATGAGTAATATAGACAAAAATATAATAGCCTACATCTTGTTTTATGGATGTTAGCGGCGTTTTAAAAAATCAGGTACAATACATATCTGATATTAATTTTTAATGAACTTATGTACACTCAAAAAAAAGAATTACTGCAATGACGAATTTTTATTGGCTGCATACAAGTTCTTTGCCGCAAGCATTTATATTATATTATAGTGGCAGCCAATCGCAGTGTCAGTATATGATTTCAGATAGGCTACCGCAAATAATTTTCAATGGTAGTAAGTAGTTGGTTACACTAGACAACTTTTTAGTCATGGTAGCCTTACCGATTAAGTAAGAGATAATTGGCTGAACCAGCCAGCTCAGATGGCAGGACTAGCCAACTTATTGACAATTTATCCGATTCCTATCTGACCGCGCACGTATCATGCAGGCAGCGACCGGCACGCCGAGAGTCATTGGGCAAGTTCAAGGCAAAGCGGCTAGGTCTGCCGAGCGAATGAACATGATTGGTTCTTACCTGTGCACCTAACCAATCATGTTTAAGTCTGCTCGACGAACAGACCTAGTCGCTTTGTTGACTTAAACGTGCCCATTGTTTTCGCGACTCGCGACACTCCGATTTTCGAATTATTCTGGCACTATCGAATGTGCACGTCTCAACAAGTTGTTCGCTCGCTAAGTCAGTTATATAAAGTTCAGTTATATAAAGTGAAGTATTTTTCGATAAGTGTCTATAGTACGAAACACACTTCGATAAATTCGAAGTGTTTCGTAATATAGCAATCTGTTTCAATATATCTACCGGTTAAATCTATCGGTGAACGAATATAGAATATTAACACGGTAAGTATATTATCCGAGACAACGTGCATGCTAAAAGACGTCGTAGATATAAAGGTTTCTTTTCGAGCATACATGTCTAAAAAATCTAAGACATCTTCTAGACATTGTGTGTTGTCAAGGGATGCGGTCCGTTTAAAACGCGTGACGTGTTATTGGCTACGTTTACATCATGCGCTTAATTCGCGAACTATACAATAGGTATCCTTGTTTATCTTGTAAGTTAAACAAAAACATCTATCATAATATATAGGTTGCGGACTAAGCGCACGATGTAAACGTAGCTATTAAACGTTTATCCTTATTGTATGTTAAAGAAAGATAAAATAATAGATCACACGTATCATGCGTAACACGGAATGCACTCTCGAAATGTGTTTCGTTTCACACATGATGTGAATGATGTATCATTTTATCCTTGTTGTTCACTTTTAATATTAAAGAAGGATAAAATGCATCATGCACATCATACGTCATGCGTGAAATATCCTCGGACTATTCATTGTGCACACTTAATTCTTCCTTTCATTTCTATTTGTGCGCAGTATCGTTCATTTTCTATTTGTAAGATTTATTATAAAAAACGAAGTGCCCGGTAATTAACGTAAAATTTGTATGAAAAATAAAAAAAGAAAAATGTGCGACGAGTAACCGGCCAAAACAAATTTCATTATTTGGCGTTGGATAATTAAGTATACCATCATTATGGCAGACGAGTGGACCATTAATATGTTAAAAGAATGGAATTTTTCTTCATACGAAGCAGTATTTAAAGGTAATTTTATTTTTCATCGAAGTGTTGTTTTCAATAGTTCTCAAGAGTTTTTTTATACATCATTATTCATAAATTCTGGAACGCTTGCAATTCTTTCGCATTTCAGAAAGTATCTCGTTGAAAAATTGCGTAGAATTTTTAAAAATGTATTTTGAAAAAGAAAAATAGAGCTTCTAACTGGCATTTGAATTTTGTCTCTATGATATTCCATCCAGACGCTTCAAAAAATAACAAAAATATCACTTTTCAATTTTATGTCATTTAAAACAAAATATTATAGAGAAAAATTCCAACGCTAGTTTGAAGCTCTATTTTTTTTCTTTAAAATGCATTTTTCATAACTTCTCTATTATACGATTTTTTCACCGAAATACCTTTTTTAAAATATGAGAAAATTGTAAGCGCTTCTAAATTTATGGAACAATAACGTATATTATATCATTTTTAATATATATGGTCCATATTTTTTTGTCTATATATGAAATTATTGTAAAACATTTTAAGTAATTTGAAATTATGTTTTTTGTTATTTTTTCTCTACGATTTAACTTTTTTCTTTTCTATAATCTTTCTCTTAGAACAAGAAATAGATAAAGACGGCTTTATGAAGCTGAGCGATGAACATATCCGTTTATTGTTTCCTAAATTTGGCCCACAAGTTAAGTTTCAAAATTTGTGGAAGAATTTAGTGTCGTCATCAAAGAAGGTAAAATATATCATTCAATTGTTGCAGCAAATGAGCGATATATCCTCCATTAATTTTAAATTATTTATTTTAGCATTTGATCTTTCATGCATTTTTAAATTTTATTTTCCATTTCAGATTGAAAAGGCCGAAGAAATTCACGAGGAATCTAAAATTATTGATGCCATTGTTACTGAGAACGGTACTTTGACAGTAGAAAATATATCAATTGAAGACTCGATTGAAGATATAGTCTCTGAAATAAAAGTTGGTGAATCGTCTACTGATGTGTCTATGAAAAAGTCACAACAAGTTAAACGTTACATAACAGAAGATTCTTTCCAAAATCGAAAACATTATGCTAGTATACCAAATGTTAGTTTTTATTAAGCATTGCCATTATTTTGAATAAGAAATTGCAAATCAAATTTTATCAGGATGTAAAAATTTATCTCGAAAGAACATGTGATGGAAAGAGCTACTTCGGTATTTATAACAAGCAAGGCTTTGACAACGCTCTAAGGACAGATTTAGCGAAATATATTATATCAGCAGAGTTAGGTGACGATTCCAACAAACGGTGAGTGTGATGCAATAATGTGTTTTTATGATTGTCACGTCCGGATTCGCGTTTGTTGTTGATGCGAGAGACGCGACTGGGTCGGTGGAGCGCGAGCGCGGAGCGGGGCGCGCGGGGCGAAGCCTTGGCTTCAGCTGATCTGATTTCGGCTGTTATTGCCGCGGGCAGGTTGCTGTCACCAGTGCCTTCTTAATTCGGCACAATGTCTATCGGGCATAATATTATTATTTGAGGATTTATCGCGGCCTTCTTGTACCTCCGGTGTCGAAATAATTTAGAGAGTTTAGAGGAAGCGTCAGATCCCTGGGGAATGCCCAGCGTATGTTGAGATAACTTAGATCTCTGCTAAGGGCGTATCATCATGCGGTTCACTCTATCTACGCTCTCGGGGTTGGAGGTGCAGGAAGGGTAACGATTGATCAGACGAGAAATACTCGGAAATTAGCTTAATCTTTATTGCGCACGGTATGTTATTAATTACGCGTGGCTTAACGGAGGTCACTAGCGTGGGCCGGGTAGGGACCCTATTCGGAGCCACGTTTGGCGGCGGGGTCGGTGGTCGTCGCGGCGGTGCGGAGGCTCCCTCTCCGGCGGGCGGCTCGATCCCGTTCCCCCAGTGGCGCTCGGGGTCAAAGGTCCCCTCCTTTAGCAGGGCCTTTTTGAGAGTCCGGAGG